AAGTAAATCGAAGATGGCAACAGACTTAGTATTACTGTGAGTAAATGACAAATGTTTTTGCTTAGCCAAACAGCAAGTATTATAGGGCTTATGATTGTCATTGTAGGTGACAAAAGGAATTTGAGAGGAAATACATTTGTGTATGTAAGGACTTAAGTGTCCAAGCCTAATATGCCAAATAGTAGCAGGATCGTGTTTAGCAGGTTCTAATTGGGGAGAAGAGGAGGTGTTGACAGAGCCAGATGTGGGAGAGATGGCCTTAGGTGGGGTGGCATCAAGAACATACAATTTGCCAATCCTCCTAGCTGTAAATCCAGTCATCTTGGATTGGGACAACTGCATAATTTGACAGCAATTAGGGGAAAATTTCACATCATATAAAGTGGAGTCAAAAAGAGTGGTGACAGAGATAATATTGACATGAAATGAAGGAAAGTAATAAACATTATGAAGGACAAGTGAATCACATAGTAAAACTGAACCATCAATAGTTGTAGCGACAGAGTCACCATTAGGCATTGTCATAGATTTAGGTGCAATGTGGTATGTGGAAAGGAAACTGGCAAAGATATGGGTGATGTGATCAGTGGCACCTGTGTCAATGATCCACCAGTTATGACAAGGAAGATTTGAGGAATTCTTCCCAGAGGAAGTATGAGGAGAGGTATGGGACACAGAATTAGCAGTATAAACTGAATTAATCGAGGGAGGTGAAGGAGATTGCAAATTAGACTGTTGGAGGAGCTGCATAATCTGAGTGTATTGCTCTTGAATCGTAGACAAAGCACTTGGACTGGTGTTTGATGTGGAAGCAGAGGAAGATAATGCCTCAAGTTGAGGATAAGCAGCATCTTGAATCGAGTTCACTGTAGAATCAACAGAATTCCCCACAGATGTAGTAGGCTTGCATTGTTGAAATCCAGGGGGATAGCCATGTTTCATGAAACAAGTCTCAATGGTGTGATTGGTGCGGTTGCAATGAGTACAGAGTCGGTTTCCACGGCCACCACGGCCACGACCACGACCAGGGTTGTGGGAAGAACGAGAAGGTGCTTGAGAAAGGTGATTCACAGACGATTGAGACTCAATCGAAGAAGCAGAAGGTGAAAGAAGGTTGAATTGACGTTCTTGTTGAAGAACCAGATTAAACACATTATCAAGAGTTGGTAGTGGGGTCATCAACATAATCTGCGAGCGAACATGAGTGTATTGGTCACCAAGGCCCTTCAAGAACTTGATAACTTTATCTTGTTCTTTGAATTTGCGTAAGTCTGAAGCAGCACCACAGGAGCACGGTATAGCGCAAGTACAATCACGAATTTGCCGGAAGTTCTTGATTTCTTTCCAAAGTGTCATCAATTTCGTGAAGAACGAAGAGATATCGAGAGTTCCTTGTTGAAGACGAGCAACAGTTTCTTGAATGTCAGCAATGCGAAAAATGTCTCCCTGAGAAAAACGATTTTCCAAACTTTTCCATACAAGAGAAGCACGATCATACCAGAGAAGAGATTTTGCAATTTCCTTAGAAATCGAGCGTTGAAGCCATGAGAGGACGAGATTGTTGCATCGCAGCCAAGGTTCGTATAGAGAGTCAGAGATAGGCGGAGGAGAAAGAGTGCCATCAACGAACTTGATCTTGTTCTTGGAGATAAGAGCCACTTTCATCGATCTAGACCAGATCTGGTAGTTCTTGGTATCAAGAACTGGTTGAACAAGAACAAGAGAGGGATTTTCGTTAGGATGCATATAATAAGGATTGGAAGGGTTTGTAGCAAAATCGGAGTAAGGAAGTTCCATAGTCAATGCTGAAGCATTCAAAGGAAAAGGAAGAGGCGAAGACGCGAAGAAGAAGGAGAAGGCGCGAAGAAGATGAAAGGAAAGAAAAGGGAGGCGCGGAAATGAATTTTCAAACTGATACCATGTTAATTTTGGAATAGAATAAGCTCATTGTATTATTTTGCTTTTGAAATGTACAAGACAATACTATATATACTGTTAAGTAACAAATCACCAAAGTTAACTAAACTGAATTATTTGCATCATGTAATAATAATACTTGTTTGTTAATTAATTCAAATATTATTTTCATTACTTAATTCTTTCCAATTAATTTTAATTAGTTAAGTTAGGTTGGCCACCTAATTTTGATTAATTAATTTTGATTAATTTTAATTAGTTAATTATATTAATTTTGGGTTAATTAAGTAATTAGTCTTATTTCATTTAATTGTAAAAATTACATGTTCATTTTTGTCTTAGTCTTATCATGTCGATATTCCCATTTGACAAAAAAGTGTACCCCATTTTCATGAAGTATAATAATTTTACTGGATTTGTTTAATTTTTTTTATTGTTTTATATATTTGTTAATCAATATTAGTGTAGATTAAAATCAATCATTTTCAAAAACAACAAAAACAAAACTTAATCTAACGTCGAGTCTTTTTTCAAATCAAACTCAAAAATAAATGCAACGCGAGTGCTTGATTCAACGTCAAGTATTTTTTCTATTATTTCAAATTCTTTCATAATAAACTTCAACGTTTGATCAAACGTTAAGTCGTTTCAATATCTGAAAACTTTTTTCTTAAACAAATAAAACTGAACAGACGAGATGGAAGCATATCCTACCTTTTTCTAAATTAATTGAATACAAGTTGTATAGCTTGGCCACTCGATTAATTACGGTCTGATTAAAACACTTTAATTAAGTGAGTTTAATGCAAACTCAACAAACAGTAATCGAGCGAGATGGAAGCATATTTTACCTTTCTCACGAGTATTTGAATACGAGAAGCATATATCGACCCTTTGATGCTCACCCACTGTTAAAGAGTTAAAATTTAACTCGTCTCACTCTTTTTCAATAAGAAGGATTAAACGGGCGAGTTGGAAGCATGTTCAACCTTTTCCCAAAGCTTTGTTTGCGGGTTTGGAGGGGATGGGAAGGCTCCTGAAAATGAATTTTTAAAAAAATATAGGAAAATATTTGATATTTTTTGAAAAAAATGATTTTGTGTAAAATGATAAAAGAGTTTTTATCATTACTATAATTTTAATTTTCAGAATACTATAACAACATAAAAGATATTTGGAAATTTATGTAAGTCCTTTAAAACCCTTCAAAGCCCTCCTCCAGGTACAAATTTTGAGTTCTCCAAAATTAGAGGGTTTTTGGTGTTATGAATAAAAGCAAACCCTCCCAACCAAATCCCTTCAATTCATTCCACTCAATCCTTCTATTTTTTCAACCACTCCCTTCCCTTCCAAACCCCCAAACACACCCTAAGTATTTGAATACGAGAAACATATCTCGGCTATCGCACTCATATCTTATAAAATTAATCCAACCAATCAAACTTGTTTTCACCCTTGTGCGACTTCGAAAACCTTTTTAGGAAATGAATATATCTTAGTCATTTCGACGTGAAACGAATAAAAGACTTCAGTCTCCACGAGCGAGCAACAAGTCAAGATTCAAACATTCGAAATGTCTAATACATCATTCTTCTAAAAGTCAACCAACAAATTCGTAGTTTTCTACTACGAACTACAAAACTCTGATTTCTTTATTTGATATTTTTTCTTTTTCTTTTGGAATAAATAAAAAACAGTAACAACTTCATTATATTTCAAACTTACGATGGGTTCGGATATTTTTCGTATCGCGTCACTTAAATTATTCTTTTTTTTTTCTTCATGTTACAGAAATGTTATGTACAAATTACTGTCTTAATCTACCTGGAAGATCTTATTATTTCAAGAAATAATAATGCTACCATACAAAACTTCAAACATTATTAGAGTAATTGTTTTCATATGAAAGATTTTGGCACACCCAAATAGTTTTTGGGCCTAGAAGTGGCGTGTAATCTTATTTGTTTGTTTTTATACCAATAGAAGTATGCACAGGATATAATCTCTGAATTCAGACTCTTGGGGGCTAAACTTGTTGGATTCTCTCTAGAACAAAATCATCAAATTTCCTTCATTGATGGACCACCTATTTCTAATCTCTGTTTTTAACTCTTCAAGATGAAAGTCAAACATAGACTTATAGGTGGCCACATGTAAGTGCATTGGTCCAAAAAGAGTGACTCCTCATGATGACTGAGATGATCATTAGACCACCTCCAACGGTGGTTTTTCAGATTGGTTTGCCAGCTTGGCATTGAAATTGTCAACAAAAAAGTTGTTTCAGCTGGTGAACGGTACAAATATAAGCAACGGTTTTTCATATTTTTTTATTATTAAAATAATCAATTATGGGACCCAATATTAATATATAAAGAAATTGTGGGACTCAATATAAATTCTTTAAAATTGCACCATTGGATTGAAAAATGGAGTGAATTGCTTTAAAATTATGTGGCTTAATGGGTCCCACAAAGAACTCAAATATGAGTAGCATCATTGGAGATGCTCTTAGAGCATCCACATCCATCATCTCTTCATGGGTTCTTTAAATGAGACCCACTTAATTTTTTATATTATATCACACTTTTACATTTTCTAAACAATCCAACTACATTTTTTAAATATCCATACAACCCATCATGCATTCTTTCAACTTTCAAAAAAAATTAAAATTAAAATTAATATTTATGGCTTATAACAATTTCCATTAATGATATAACCATTACTTTTTTACATTTGGCAAAAGAATCCGTTATAGAGCGTGGTTAAATAAGAGAACGTGCACGAATATAGGAAGGCTATTTTTTCTCAATTATCTAAATATTAAAAACAAATTTATTAAAAACTGTGTAGCAACGACACTTTGTCAGCAGATAATTATGCTCTTGGATTGGTTCTTAATCTCGCTATAACACAAGTTACACAACCACTTCTTTTAACTATTCTCCGCTCCTCACATTATTACTGTCGTCTTCCCGATAAGCCCAATTGCACACACAAACTTCACACTTCGCTTCAAATTCGGAGCGAATAGTAGATTTTAGTATTTGGAAAGTTCTCTTCTCGTTCCTTTGCTAATATATATGGCAGCACCCCCATTGATTTACACTCGTTCTACTTACTCCCCGCCAATTACTTCACCATCATCCGCCCCGTACTGTTCTTCACCCTCTACCTATAATTCTATTTTCACTCCCCTTTCTGGTAATTCCTTTTATTTTATTTTTGGTTACTCCTTTTTTCTATAATATCCTATTTTATTGCGGTTTAATTTATTCCTAATTCAGTAAATTTTCCGGATATTATAATAATAGAATTTCTACTTTAAATTGATTGTGGTTTTGTACATTCCTATACCCTAATTTCTTAATTTATGACGACTGTGTTGTGTTTTTTTTGTCAATTGCAAACTTTGTATCACAATCTTTGGTATTACGAGAATTGCTATAGAATATAGCCTCAATTACAGTTGTAGAAACATATAACAACTTTGATATTGCGGATGAGTCTAAAAAGGATGATTGTAGAGCTTGTTGTTAGATTTGAAAAATCAAATGGCACTCGTTTCTTATTTGTGAATAGAAATGCTATTCCAAAATAGCATGTTTTTAATGTTTAAATTGTGTATTCTTGGAAAATAAAATAAGTAACCTTTTCGATAAATCATTTCTTTATTTAGAATTTTTAAACAATGCTCTTAGGACACTTGTTAACATAACGACCTTTTGAGAATTGGTTAGGAATTGGTAGCTCTTAAGCAGCTTACTCTATTGGCTTTTATCCATCTAGATTTGCATCTCTTTAGCACAAACACTTTTGAAAAAAGACGTGCCGGGATTGGTGTTAGACACTGATATTGACACGACACCGATACTTGTGATTATGTTCAAATTATTACCGTTGCCGGGGTCAGTGTCAGACAAACTGACATTGACACGATACTGACACTTGTGATTACGTTCAAATTATTACCGTCGGTGTGCGTGTCTGGGTCCCTCTTGCTTTGCTGTTTTTTTTTTGTCTCTATTAGATTTCCTAATTTTTAGGTGACATGCTGCCATAGAAATATTAACATATGATGTTAATGTTAAAAAATTTCTTTGGTTTTTATCAATGCTGGATATGAACTTCTGCAGGTGCAAATAGAGGACAAAGACACGAGAACCCAAGAGCCCAAGCTATGAGTACTACCACTCACGGAATGTCTCCTGCTAGAACCACTGGGAATCCAAAGAATGATCCTGATCACCTCCTAGTTCTTGTCCATGGTATCGGGTCTAGGTAACTTTATTTGAATTACTATTTCTATGTTCAGATTTGAGTCAAGATAATCGAGCTGATGGTGGAAATAAAAATAAATAAGCTTAATGCTATTATGATAATATACAATATTGAAATTTGCTCCGGGAATAAATGATGGCATTCATTCTCCAGCAACTCTATTCATTGTTCCATGTTTTATAGAAAATCATAGTAGTAGGTTTTGTTAGTTAGGACTCTATAAATTCTTTTTCATACTAGCTACACTGAGTATGTTTTCAACAAGAACAACCAAACCTTACCCCAGTAAGTGGGGTCGGCTACATGGATCAACTTTTGCCATATGTCTTATCTAGGATAATGCTTCTATCCAAATTGTTAATCTCGAAATCTTTCTTAATAATTTCTTTTATAGTTTTTTTAGGATTTTCTCTACCTCTAGTTGTTTTTCTATGTTAGCTTTGCTATGCATAGCTGGTCCCAAGCATGGATAAAAGGAGAGGATTGTGTTAGGCAGTCGACAACCAACGTAAAACTTTGTCGAATCTCTATGACGTGAATCAACTACAAAACACTACATATGTTTATTATCTAAAAATCTCAGTTCTTTTGTGATGCTCCCATGTGGATTAAAGTAAATGTTTGAGGTGTGTTCAGAGTATATAGATTTTTCATGGCCTAGTCTTGTCACAATCAAAAAATATTTCCCTAGAAAAGCAAGAACATGTCACGTTTTTTGGCTTAATAGTTAATACTTAGTGGAAACTTAATTGGTTGAGGATCCATAGGTCTAACACTAGAATATGGACGAATAGGCTCTCTCAGGACTCAGAAGCAATGCACAATAAATGGATTCTGGAAAAATTCTTTAGACATTATTGTACTGTGGGGTGTCTAGTATTTGTTCACTTTTTTTCTGCTAGATTTTGCTCTCGAGTTTTGCCTCACACATAGTTGACTGGTGTTGTAACTGACACAGCCCAGGTGACTGGACTTATGCAGAGGAAGAGTTAAAGATGCACCTTGGAAAAAGCTTTCTAATTTATGGTAATTACATTTTTTTTTTACATATGTTTCATGCCATTTATTTTGTTTCAACCACTTTTTTTCCTTCTTTATTTCTTTAAATAGATTTTTATTTTTGAGTTGTATTTGATTAAGTTTTGTATTGAGCAAATGCCTAAAACTCGTTGAAGGTAATGAAAATGTCTGTTGTGTGTATTTGATTAAGTTATTGGTTTGATACGGTTTGGAATTCTGAACCAATATACCAAATCAATAATTTTGGTTCATCTCGCTTCTGGATAAAATTGAAATGGTTTGGTTCAGATGACCTTTTCCTATGGTTTGGTTCGGTTTTCTGACCGAACTGTACCATAAACAGCCCTAAACAGGGGAATATTTTCTGAAAACATTGGAATGACTTGGGATGATTGCTTTATTGCAGTAATCTTACTATGATGCCTTAGCCAACTCAAAGTTGATCATTTCATCTCCCAAGTACTAAGCCATGGTTGTTTGCTGTGTAACGGATGAGAAAGTATATTTCTATCATTGGACACTGGTTTGTCCAAATTGTATATGATGAGAAAAATTGTTTGTAGAATTGCTTGTATATGTGTGTCAATGTGAAAGTAATCTTTAGTTTGTTTTTCTAAGGTCCTTTTAAAAATAATTTGATTTTTGTAGCAAGTTCATCAAATGCTTACTCCAAGACATATACTGGGATTGATGAAGCTGGAAAGAGATTAGCTGATGAAGTGAGTCTTCAAGTATTATGTTCAATTTTGTAAAAGCTTGGACCTCCAGAATCGGTTCTAATAATATAATATTTCCTTTTATCACAACAGATCATGCAAGTTGTGAAGCAGACAAAGAGCCTAAAGCGGATATCCTTTCTGGGCCATTCTCTTGGAGGCCTCTTTGCTAGATATGCAATTGCTGTTCTTTATTCACCTTCGCCTAATACTTATAATAGTAGCCAACCTGGTGATCCTGCAAACTCTGTGATGGAAAATTCCCAGAGAACTGACTTCTCAAGAGGGATGATTGCTGGACTGGAACCGATAAATTTTATTACTTTAGCAAGTCCACATCTTGGTGTAAGGGGGAAAAAACAAGTATGTTCAGAACAATCAAGTTATGAAACTTTTTTTTATAGATGTGAACTTATATCTGAAAATATAAGGCAGTTTTGACTTTTTTGTGATGGTTTTTTCTGTTTAACTCTCATTTACAGCTTCCATTTCTATTCGGTATTCCGATACTTGAAAAGCTTGTCGCACCTATTGCTCCATTTTTTATTGGTCAGACTGGTACTCAGCTGTTCCTTACAGATGATAAGCCCAACAAACCACCCCTTCTTTTGAGAATGGCTTCTGACTGTGAAGATGGAAAATTCATGTGAGTATAGGAATTTTCCTTTGCTGATTACAAACTCCTTTGTTCCAGTAAAGCAATCATGTTCTCAAACATTTTCTGTTTTGTAGATCTGCACTTGGAGCATTTAGATGTCGTGTTGTTTATGCTAATGTATCATACGACCGTATCCATTCAGGGTATTAGAGACACTTATTGGCTCTTTTTCATTTGATTTGTGTAACTCCTTTAACTTTATATAGATATGGTTGGGTGGCGCACGTCCTCTATAAGGAGGGAAATCGAACTTGGTAAGGTGAATATCATGATTCATTTTCCTTGAGTATCTCCTTTTCATACTGTACATCTCAAAAGTAGAAGTTGAGAATGCAAATATATTTGTGTTAAAAGTACCAAACATTTTGTATTTATGCCGACAGCCTCCACGCCAATCTTTGGATGGATACAAGCATGTTGTTGATGTGAAATACTGCCCCGCAGTTCCTTCCCATGAACCTCAATTTCCTCCAGAGGCAGTGAAAGCGAAGGAGACTGCACAGCATACACAGAATATTATAGAATTTCATGAAATTATGGAAGGTGATTACCATAACCAAAACTATTGTTGCCAAAACCACCTTGTTGTCTTATTGCTAAAGCCACTTGATGTTCTAAACAGAGGAGATGATACGAGGATTACAACGAGTAGGATGGAAAAAAGTTGATGTCAACTTTCACTCAGCAGTTTGGCCTCTCTTTGCTCATAGCAGCATCCATGTACTGCATCCTCTGAATCTTTTCAAGTATGCTGATATCACTGATATAGTTTATAACACGAGTATTCTTTGGATTTCAGGTGAAAAAGAAATGGCTTCACAATGCTGGTGTAGGAGTAGTTGCTCATGTTGTTGACAGCTTAAGACAGCAAGAAACATCATCAACTTTACCGACATCATAATAAAATGTTGAATACATCTTTTGTATGTACATAGTTGAAAAATTAAAATCAAAATAAAAGGATTCTTATATTTTTTTATAAATTAAATTAAAAATGAAAAACCTCTTCTAAAGTCAAACAAACTAGCCCTAACTAAGTTTAGACAAGAAACACCACGGGTAAGGATTCTCTACTTTTTTGGAGGAAAATTTAGAGTAACTTTAGGTAAAAAATGGAATAAGACAAAAGAGATGATAATATTTATTTGGAGGGAAAAAGATGTGAGCGAAAATAAATTATAAGAGAGATAGGGAGAAAGGCAGAGAAACATAGAAGATTGAAAGTTAGAGAATCTAAAACCAAACATTTCAGATATGTTGGGAAAAATGAGAGTCCATATTTTTTACTCTGTAAATCCTATAGGTTTTAATTTGTTGATTTCCAGACATGGTTAGGAGATTGCTCTAGATCCAACTTTATGTTGAGCAGATCGCTATGATGCCTATTGTCGGAGTGTGATTTTACTTATTTTTTCTACAATTCAAACTTCGATATAAGTCTTTTCGAGTTTTAAATATAAGACAGTTAAGGCATCTTTGTATTTTTTTGGTTTATATCTTTTCCGATTTACAAAATTCGAATAAATTTTAGAAAAAATAGTAATAACTTTTAGGAACAATTGGTCTGAGAAGTTTGATGATGCATTGTAGACATATAAGGCATCTTTTAAAACTCATGTTAGGTTATTATTGCATCAATTGGTTTATGAAAGACTTATCACTTATTTGGTGGAGCTTGAACATAAAGTAAGACGCGGTGAAAATTTTAAATTTTTATGAAAAGTTGGCTGGGGAGGAAGAGGATCTTAAGCTGAATTAATTGGAAGAGATGAGGTTGAGGGCTTATGTAAATGTAGTAATTTATGAGGGAACGTGAAGGAGAGCTTACTTCCATATGAGATGAATGATTTTACTTAAGAAGATGAACTCTATAATATAAGAACATATTTACCTCTGGGTAATCCCAATTTACTCTTTGCTTAAATGCAACCAAATCATGTTTTGAGGAATAAATGATGTCTAAAATTTACTTTTGTTAACTAATTACTTAACCGATCTAACTTTAACTATGCTTTGTACGATTATTTTCTTTTCGTAGCTCAAATAGTGCATAGCAACTAATTTAATGCAACTAAATACATTAGAAACTCTTTAAATTAATATTCAAAAAATTAATAAATTCTCTAAAATAACAAATTTGTCCGGTCCCGACTTTGGCTAATGTAAAAAATTGAAAAATTCGATAAAATAATAAGATAATAATTTTTTGGGACATCCCTTTATAATTTTCGGTCCCAAGAAAATCATAAATTAATAATTCATAGAAACTGAAAAAATATATTACACTCTATTGAAATATGATTCAATAGTTGTCTGTTTTCCTTTAAAGCTTAAATCTATTTGGAGCTCATCTCTAACTTTTCTTATTGCATCCAACGGCTCAGGTGTTGTATTTTTGTATTGTATCATAAAGTTGTGAAGAGTGTTCTACGCCATAAGTGCTTCCTTTCGCGTAACAGATTCCAAAGATACCGTATCATTTTCGTCGTCATCCTCTGCATTATTCTCAATGATAGTACTCACAATATCTTCTAAACTCTGAACCTCCGAACATGCTTCATTTTCATCTGGGTAGTTCATTAGATTGTCCATATCCATCTTATTATGATAGCCACATTGATTGATCATAGTCTCGAGGTCTTGAGTTTCTTTATCAAAAGTGAATTCATCTAAATTTCTTGCAACGTCACTAGCTGGTCGAATTTTACAGTGTCAGAAGCAATTCACTATTGTTTCTTTTCGAACATCTATCGTCCAAGCTGGGGTTTCCAAATTGATAGCATCAAGGACGTTTATCTTCCCTGGATCAGATTGTCCCACCTCCTAACCTTCCAATATTTTGTAGTAAAACCTTTTACGGTAATGCATCTTGAAAGCTCTTATTATCCCAATATCTCAAGGTTAAATCTTTGATGTCATGTTGGATGGCAAGAAGAACAAATCAACGTTTCTTAGCCCTTCAATATTTTTTGGATGTGCTGGACAATTATCCACCACAAGTAGAACTCTTCTACCATGCATCATTTAGTCAAATGAACGAACATATTCATCAAAAAGCACACTAGTCATCCATGCTTTTTTGTTAGCTCGATACTGACAATCCAAGCTATTCATGTTGACATTCTTGAGTCAACGAGGCTTTGCATATTTCCCAATAATCCATGGAGAGATTTTTTCAAAGCCATCTTCATTGCAACAAATAACTACCGTCATTCTTTCTTTATCTTGTTTTCTTCCTTCAAGTTGTTTTGTTGTCAGTGAATGATCAACTTGTAGCCTATAAAACAACTCAGTTTCATCCATATTGAAAACATCTTTTATAGGTAACTAATCAATTTTCTCTCGAATCGATACCAATTTCTGCTCCATGTCTTGTACATCAACAGACCCACTCTCACCAAAATGATGAAATGACTTTATGCCATGTCGGTGCTTAAATTTCCCAAGACATCCTGTAGAGAAGTTAAAATCTGAATCATCATGAGGATACACGAGTTTCATTGTATCTCTTTCCTTCTGTAAAATTAATTCTTCTGTGATATTCACACGTTCTTGATGTTGGAGAAACCACTCATAAACAACCTTCTCCATGTCAGGATATTTTACTGGTTTATGTCTTTTGATCTCTGCTCTTCCCTTTTCTATTTCAGCAGAGAGATAGTCATATGACCGCTTAAGTGTGTTTAATATTGTTCCTTGACTAACTTTCAACTAAAATTTTCCCTCAAGCCATCTTTGCAAGTCTTTTTGCGTGCTTACATGATTATCTCTCTTGTACTCACACAACTCCTTACATATTTGATCTGACATAGTTGATTTTGCAACACCTTTTAGATGAGAAGCCATCTTGTGAGATATGATTTGAATACTCTAACACATTCATGTAATTTATATATGTCAAACTTGCTTAAGAATATATTGAACACATTTGTTCCTCTTATTTACATTTATTGTACTTCAAAATCATTATTGATTTTCAATGCATATGAACACATTAGTTACTAATTTACGTTGAGTCTCAAGTTTCACTGCAACGTAATTCTAAGAGGCATAGACTAATTTGCCTTTTTGTTTGATATGTACAGTATAATTACTTAAAAACTCTTTAAATTAATAATTATTAATTTATCGATAAATTAATAACTCTCTAAATTAATAAATTTCTCTTGTTCTGACATTATTAATTTAAAGAGTTTCTACTATAATAACTTTGATCCTTATCTATTTTCCCTTTTACAAGTTACCCCATTTTCTATGTTGCGTTTATGGGTAGGGCAAAACATCACTTCTTCTCTGAACCACCACCTTCTCCCTCTGTCTACTGCTTCTTCCAACATACACCATCTCTCTTTAATCCTTCAAACCCAACATTTACTCACAATTTCATTTGAATACAACAAAATTTGTCTTCTCTTTTGAACCCCCAGTCTTCTCCCTTTTCTACGTATACCCTGGTTGTCGTGGATAGACCTTTTTAAACCGTTGCCAACATCAATAACAAGAAGGAGGTTTGGAAAATTGCAGTCACAGTTCATCACATATGAAATGTGTGGTACGGTGGAAGAACTGACTTGAGGGTTTTGCGTTTTATCGCAAATGTTGCGGTTAGCAAGAGTCGTCACCGACTTTTCTTTTATCCAAAAGGAAAGGTGAAAAAGCACAAGAAAGACCTTTGAGATATTTTCTTGAGTTCGGGGGGTAGATTATGAAAAGGGAAGGTGTTAGCACCCTTTTCATCCATGGTTTTCCATGGGCTCTTAGTTACTTGCTAGATCACTTGCTTTTGTTTGTTTGAAAATGTGTTTGGTATAGTTTTGAAAGTATTTTGTAAAAGAGGCCATTCGTTTAGGCAATCTTTGTAATGATTCTCGTTCGTAAGAATGTATACAAAGATGTTTGTCTTTTTTGAAAACGTTTTCAATGTTTGTAAGATGTTTTGAAATTTGTGTGTTTGTTTTGGAAAATAGCAAGGATAGTTGTTTAAAATTAGAGCAAGTAACTAGAAGTTATCTACCTACTCAAATATCTTTCTTATGCATTTTCTATTCCTTTGACATTGTTGTCTTACCATTGATTTGGTAAGCAACCCTATCTTTGGATGTAAACGGGACGGGCGTGGGTCATCGTATAACCATGATTAGCAATGTTGCAAAGTATCTTAGCATTTTTGAGGGACCAAGATCATTTTTTGTAAGGCAACCTTGAATAGCGTCATCGAGGGACTATGATCTTATACTTGTTTATTTTGCCAAGATATTTCGCATGCGTAATATGGCCATTTTTGTTTTAGGCAACCAAGTGGAGAAACCCTAAGGATGCTTGTGTGCAAGTGTATCATTTTCATGCTTTGGTTTTATCTTGTATTTAGGGTTTTCTATTTTGCTTTGTTTTGATCTTATCATACAAACCCTAATTACTAATCATAGCATGTAAAGCGGTAAATTGCGTAATATAAATATTACTCAGCTATTACAACAATTTTATGGGAAGGGGGAATACAAATTTGAATGGGGATTTGCAAGAATGTAAACCTAAATAAATTATTACAACCAAATTGAATTTGTACGAATATTAGAATAAATAATATACAATATTTAAATATGCAATATAATGTACATGTAAGAAAAGATTTTTGTTTTGTTTTTTATGTAAAAGAAATTTTAATCTAAACATAAAATTATAAGGAAAATAAATAAATTTTTAGAAGGGAGGCTTAACCCTAATTACTATTTTTAAAAGAAAATAAAGTTCTTATATACTATTTTTTTATGTATTTTTTATGTTAAAATAATAAATAATATGGTATAAATAATATAAAGTTTTTTATATATGCAACAATAAATATGTATAAGTATGGGATGAAAAAGAAATAAATAAATTAAACTAAATATATTTTAATTA